TTGTGCAAGCCCCCCAACCCCCCGTGGCTCCCCCGACTCACCCACCACTCCTGATCTTCTTCCCCATCCACGATGATCACGTCCCCCTCGGAGAAGGTCAGCTCATCCGGGTTGTCCGCCACGCAGTTGTAAAGCGCTTTCACTCGCTTGGGCTTGCACTTGGTCTGCATCAGAAGGGGGAGGGGGAGGGCTGGTGTGGCGGAAGGCCAAGGCCTTAGGTGGAGGACCTCCTGGCCTCGGGAGCCCGGTACCTGGGCTGGGAAACCCACAGAGGTCAAGCGAGAGAGCGAGTGGGGATCGTGTGGGGCAGGAGCCTGGGCAGCGGAGGGAAATGAAACACCCGGGGGTCTGGCAGCAGCGAACAGAGGTCCACGCTGGTCAGCGCCCCAGTCAGGAAACAGCACCAGAAAAAAAAAAAGCCCTCAGAGCTCCCTCCACCCAGGAGAAACAGAACCCTTGGTTGCCTCGGGGCCTCCTGACTAGGAGAGCAGGGGGAAGGACAGCGCCTTGTCCACTCACCGCCTGTGACTTCCTCGGCATGGGTGCCGGGGGCTGCAGGGCCATGGCGTTGGACAGAGGACCCGGAGCTTCTAGAGAGAACCACCGCGTTAGAGCCAACACAAAGCGACTTTACAAGACACCCCCCGCCCCGTCCCATCCGTCTTAACTGTAAGACGGTGACTGGAAGAAGAGTCGCAGGGTTAGTCTAAAAGCAGGGCTCTCCACATGTCTGCCGTATCAAGAGAAAACTCCTGGACGAGGCAGAGAACTTCCTGCCTGGCCCGGACCAGGGCTGACCAGCCACCTAGAAATGCCACCCCCTGGCCCCCCCAGCCCCCATGAATCCACCTGTTCCAAGTTAAATAATTACCAGGTCCTCTTGGCTGGCCTTTGTTGACCAGTGGGGTCGGCTTGTCAGTCCTACAAGGAAGGAAATAAAGGTTGATTGATCACCGAGGCTACCTGCTCGAACTTTATTCCCTCGGTAAGGGACCCCGTCTCCGCTCAAGCCTGAGCTTGTTCTAACTCTAGCCCATCCCATGTGTGGCTTCCCCGGCCCCACTCTTGGAAAAAGGAAAGGTCCAGAGCAAAGTGTCAGATCTCCATCCCAGGGTCAGCACTGGACTGCCATTCACGGTAGGCCGGAGCAGGAGTTAAGCGCCAATCACTGCTTCCACACACGGTTTGCTGACTCCGGACTCCACGGCAGCCTCTGGCCTCCACGGCAGCCTCCATCATCCCGTGAAAGGGGACGGGCTGGAGCTTAACCTCAGGCCTGGGTGGCTCTGCCAGGGTCTGTCTGTGCAGACACCACCACAAGTCCATGTCATTCATGTCTGTGAACTCTGTGGCCCCCGCTCTGGGAGCCGATGTGGCTGATGGCAGGCCCGCTGAACCCCGGGTCCAGCATTTCCTCAGCAGAGACGAACGGAATGGGAGCCGTTCTCACAGCTGGCAGAGGGAGCTCGAGCCACTCAGGTCTGCCATGGTGGCTTTTCACCCGAAGAAGGTGGGACACACACAAGCTCTGCTAATTCTCTAAAGGGAGAAGGGACCGGAGTCTGCGGAGGGCTAAGAGAGAGAGACGCCGCATCCCCGGTCGCCTAGGGGTGCTGGTGGACCCTAACAGGAAGTAAGCAAACAACTGGGCAGGCAAGCCTTGGGAGGGGCTGAGGAAGCAGGCGGGGAGGCAGCCTGTGATGGATGGCATTCCTTCCACAGCAGGTCACTTCCTCTGCTGCCCCAGGGAACCCATCTGGGTGCTGGTCTGCAGCCTCGGATGAAGAGGAAAGGAACGCGACTTGGTTGTGCTCTTATTTTCAAGGGGCCGAGAAAACCATAAAAGCAAAGCCGATTTGATTCCCACTGAGTGGCCAACTTCCTCCTCTGTGGTCAAGGAAGTGCTTACAAGAGGCACTCGGCGAAGGACCATGGTCAGCCAGCCTTTGTCGCATGGGACCTAACTGGTATTGTAACAAAAAACCTGGGACTGGATATCGGGGTGAAAGCTGAAAGATCAGAGAAGCAGAGCAGGCCACAGCCACCACCTCTTACCTCACCACCTCCTCAGCCTGAATGAAAGAGCTCCAGCTCTAAGGCCTTTAGTTCCTGTCTCCTCCTCACGCCTTCTATACCTTTCTCCGCCCAGCCATATTACTTCCTGTCTCAACCTCTCTGGTGCTGGGATTAAAGGCATGTGTGCTTCCCAAGCAAAGGCATGAGATGTCAAGTACTGGGGTTAAAGGTGTGTGCCACCACTGCCTGGCTCTGTTTTCTCCCCTGGACTGAATCAATCTCATGTAGTCTAGGGTGGCTTTGAACTCACAGAGATCCAGACGGATCTCTGCTTCCCGAGTGCTAGGATTAAAAGTGTGTGCCACCAGTGCCTGGCATGTATGTTTAATCTAGTGGCTTGTTCTGTTCTCTGATCTCCAGGCAAATTTATTAGGGTACACACTATAGCACCATAAGCCTTGCCCTCAAAGGCCAGGTAAAGCAGAAGAAGGGTCACAAGTTCAAGGCCAACCTAGACTAATACTTGACTTACGGGCGTGGTTGGTTTGAATAAGAATGGCCTCCACAGGCTCAGATAGTTGAATGCTTGGTCCCCAGTTGGTGGAACTGTTTGGGAAGGATTAGGAGGTGTGGCCTTGTTGGAGGAGGTGGGTAACTGGGGTGGTGGGCTTTGAGGTTTCAACAGCCCATGCCAGGCCCAGTTAGGGCCTCCCCTGCCTCTCTCTGCTTTGTGCCCGTGGCTCAGGATGTGAGCTCTCAGCTACTCACTGTACCTACCTGCTGCCATGTTCCCCACCCTGGTGACCATGGACTCTGACCGTGGAACCATGAGTCCCAGTAGACTTCTGCTGTAAGTTGCCTTAGGCATGGTGTCTCTTCACAGCAAGAGAAAAAGTAACTAAGACACAGGCACTAAAATCTGCAGGTCCCAGAAATCTCACCTGCCATGAAACATTCTCACCTGAAAATCTTACCCACCGCTTGTAAGTACAAACCCCACTGACAGCCTATGACTCATGGACATGAGCAGTGGTGGCAGCTGCCCTGTGGGCCCGCTCTGGCTGTCTCCGGCTCCCAGGGAACAAATATGAAATGACAGGTTTATATCATGTTCAAAATTATTGGTAAGGCGTGGGCTTCCTTTACAAGGAATATACACCACGCCTTCCTTTAAAAATGGAATTCTTCCAGCAGCAACAGCCTGGCTCTATTCATCGAAATCTGCCTCAGATAAGAACACCCTAACTAACCGACAGCATCTGCTTTGTCGTCCCCCAGCTTCCCTTCCCGTTCGATTACGACCAGCGAGAAAACTCATCCACCGCCCTAGCTTGGCTGGTGTGCGCCCGGGGGCCCGGCTGGCAGGAGGATGCCGTGACCTGGTGCCTGCTGGCCAGTACCACTGTTCTCATCTGCCCGGGCAGTGCCAGCAGCCCACTGTTTCTGGTCCAGAACGTCAAGACGTGGCCTGGCACCGTAAAAGGCAGCATGTGAGAGGGAGGGAATCCACGCACATCACAGAGGAAAGGCACACAGGGACCCGGAGAGGCATGGCCCATGGCGGTCGGCACAGGGGCTTGGCAGGCAAACTTGTCTTGGTGTAACTCAGCAGCCAACCTTACTTCAAATCACTGTTAAGAAGATGATGGTGGTGAGGGGACTGGAGACATGGCTCAGCAGGTAAAAGCACTGGCTGCTCCTCCAGAGGTCCTGAGTTCAATTCCCAGCACCCACAGGGTGGCTCGCTACCATCTAGAGTGGGACCTGATGCCCCCTTTTGGCATAAAGGCGTACATGCAGATAGAACAATCATATACATGAAATAAACAATGAATCTTTTTTTCCCCCCCTCGAGACAGGGTTTCTCCGTGTAGTTTTGATGCCTGTCCTGGAGCTTGTTCTGTAGACCAGGCTGGTCTCGAACTCACAGAGATCCACCTGCCTTTGCCTCCCGAGTGCTGGGATTAAAGGCGTGCGCCACCACTGCCCGGCAGTAATAAATCTTTGAAAAAAAGGAATATTAGGGTGCAGATGTGCACTTTGGGTTCTAGAAGGATGTCCTGGCAAAGCAGTACACAAACACTCTGATTTACAAGTGTGGGACTGCAGCCTGGGGCCGCTGCTCAGTGAGGAGTGCACTCACAGCAGCATGAAGCTCTGGACTCCACCCCCTGGCTGACCCAGGAGGGGACTCCCACACAGGTGTGAAGTCCTGGAGTAGTCCCGGGTACACTGTAACATCCCTGCCAGGCCCAAAACCTCCGCAAGTGGGAGACAGGGCAGGTTGTGTGATCAACAAGAGGATTCACCAAGAATAAACAACAACAAAAGTCCCCAAAGCCACGTAAGGAGGTGGCGGTGGTGGCCGCAAAGCCCTGAACTCCCAGTTACCTGTCCCCAGCACACGGAAGACAGCTTCCACTCCAGGGAGGGCACAGCCTAGGACATCTCATCTAGGACACCAGGGGCAGCTAGTGGGGACATCTTAAAAGCAGAGGGATCAAGTTTAAGATGAATTTTAATGTGATTCCCAGAAATCATAAATATACCTTTTAGGCAGCCACCATGAACCTGAGGTGCCCAAAGGGGGTGTGTGCGTGTCTGAGTGTTGTCACTCAGACAAACAGCCATACCACCTCAGGGAAACCTATCGTTAGGGTCTGGATATGAAACGCTCTCCCAAAAGGTTCTCATATTAAAATGCTCAGTTGCCAGATGATGTACTCTGGGGAAGTGAGTTCATCCTTTGATGGAGTCCAAATTTGGTGGCCTTATTAAGGGGCAGCAACAGCAACTCCAACTCGGAGACGCGGCCCCTAGGGGCACCCTCTGCAGGGTCCAGCTGTCTCCGGCCCATTCTCCACTCTCGATCCCTGCTTCCTGCTGCTGTGAGGTCAACAGCTGGTCCCTGCCTCCACGGTGTTCTTGCCTCACCACAGACAGACCTACCACAAGGGAGCCAAGTGATTCTTGGGAGAACTGTGCACCGGAATAAGCACCCCCCTCCCCCCACCTCCCCAGACTGTTTCTCTTGGGCATTTGTGCCGGGGAAGAAACACCACAACCTGCCTGTGTCGGTGCCCAGTGTCCCACCTGAAGCAGGGACAGAGGCGTGCAGGGGCATTTACAGGAAACAGCTTCTACCACACAGAAGCCAAAACCCCAGACGCCAGCGAGGCCAATGCCTCCCCCTCCCCCAAATCATCCAGTCCTCAAGAAATGAGAGATAGCGCTCCTGTCAAACAAAACCTGGGTGCTATAACCAGGGTTCGACGTACTGTGAGAACGGAAATGGAAAACGAAAAGGGCAAAAATCGAGAAAAAGTCTCTGGAAGTGTATTTTTTAAACAGCACACAGGAACAAATGAGGAGTGGAGAAGACAGCAGCAGAAGGCCGGCTGATGAGGAAACCCCACTCGCCTGGTACAGCGGAACGCCCAGCCGGGGACTGCGCCCCAGGCCCTGCCTCTGGGTGGCAGGGCCACCAGACTGGCTTTGGTGAAAGGTGTGAGACCCTAAAATGCTGTCACGACCACCTTTCCTCTTCAAAAGTGACTCGGGGGGGACTTGGGTCTAGGGGGTCGATCAGGAGCAGGTACCCAGATTTCACCTCTGGGATCTGGGGGAGCCGTCAGAACAGTTGGATTATTTGGTAAAACCAAGATGGCACGTTTAATGGAGAGGCCAATCTGGTCTGACGTCTGAGAAGTGGGAGTTACATCAAAGGAAACAGCGGAGGGCGGGATTTAAAGCGTCCAGACGAGAGGTTTGTCAGAACCAGGCCGGGGGACAGCCAGGCTGGGGGGTGAGGGGTCCAGTGACCCTGACACAAGTCCAACCTGGGTGAGATGAGGAGGCCACGACCCAGCAGGGGACACCTGGCCTGGATGGGGAGGTGGGGGGTGAGGCTAGAGGCTGCGTGACCACGTGCCGGTGCTGGAGCTGATTTGGTTCAAGCAGGGAAAGAAGGCTTCAGCCTCTAGGCCGGGTGGAGGCAGAGCCAGGAGAGCTGTGTTCCCAGGAAGGAGCGACTGAACGACTGAACACAGGAACCAAGATTCTCAGCTCCGAGAAAGGGAGTTACAAGGGACAGTCTTGCTGTCCTGTGTCCCGACAGAACCCTCTCTAGCACTCAGGCCGGCTTCCAGCACTGCTTCTGAAATCAACAGGGCAAAAGCAACATGGCCTGACCTGTTTGGGGTGACCTGTCTTGGGCCCAGGGCTTGAGGAAGTCACACCACCCCGAAGAGATCCCACGCCCGCGGGCATTGTGGTCAGCAGCCCGGCTGAGGTGTCGCTGAGGCAGCAAGGGCTGCCAAGTCCACGGAGTGGGGAGACCTCCACGACAGCAGCCTTTACCAAATGACTGCCCCCCTGGGGGCGGGGGTCTCAGCGATGGCAAGGACAAACTACTCCGCTGTGCCACCCCCCCAATCCCGGAGACAGGACTCCTAAAGCATGCACACCACTAAGCGGGTGTGTCTCAAAAGAGCAAGTGCTGGCGCTGTCTACGTGAGAGAAAGTGGAGATACTGACATGCACTCCTGGGTTCCAAAAGAGAAAGCTAAAGAATAGAGAGAGAGATGCCAGGCGGTGGTGGCGCACGCCTTTAATCCCAGCACTCGGGAGGCAGAGGCAGGCAGATCTCTGTGAGTTCGAGGCCAGCCTGGGCTACAGAGTGAGTTCCAGGACAGGCACCAAAACTACACAGAGAAACCCTGTCTCGAAAAACCAAAAAAAAAAAAAAAAAAAAAAAAAATGAATCCACAAAAAGAAGACCCCAATAAATCTACTTCCTACTATAAAAACATAGATTAAGAGATTTAGAGATGGGGGGTGGGCACGGCACTGAAGAGATAGCTCAGTGGTTTAGAACACTGGCCACCCTTCCAGAAGACATGGGTTCAATTCCCAGCATCCATATGGGGGCTCACAGCCACTAACTGCAGTTCCAGAGGCTCTGACACCCTCTTCTGGCTTCCTCGGGTACCAGATAGGTACGTGATACCCAGACGTACAAGCAGGCAAAACTATACACATAAAATCAAATGTAAAACCTTTAAACGCTTTCAAAAAGGTCACTAGACCCCTTTGCGGTGTGTGCGCGAAGGAGAAAGTCCTTGTCTGTAGGAAACATCTAACAACCCACAGGGGCCTGGGTCTTAAGGGCTTGGCTCCAAAATCCCCAGTGTTAACGCACAAAAATCTAAATTAATCACGCGGGCTTACGATCTAAGCGTGCAATAGATCTTCAGCTAAAAAGCTCTTCGCAGAATTAACCTCAAGACCCTCGAGAGCCGATCAGTAAAAGTTACACAGCCCTTGGCCTCTCACCCTAGCGTGGCAAGAACACAGGAGATTTCCAGGGCTCACACAGACATCCCAACAGATGAAGGAATGGGGCCAATGCCATCGGAAGCCCTCTGCATGTGAGGGGCAGAGTGTTGGCTGCTGTGGCCAGGCAGGGGCAACAATTACCCGGAAGATGGCTTCTTCTGAGGCAGGCGGCTGGGTGGCTGGGGCGGCAGGGGTGGGGGCTTGCTCTGGGAGGCCCCGGGTTGGGTGGGCTTGCTTGGCTGGCTGACGCCTTCTAGTGCGCCTGATGTCTTAGCCACAGGAGGGGGTGGTGTGGTGGTCAGGGAATCTGTGGAGAGAAAATGGGAGGGGCGGGGGTGTAGAGAGAGTGAGCTCCCGAGGTCATATACCTAGGCTCTTTCTGGAGACTTCTCCCTCTCTAGCGTTCTTCTGGGAACACCTACGGCTGCTTCTCAGCTTGTCTCCTCTGAGAAACCGTGAGGGGCAAAAACCACACGGACAGCTGAGCCTCAACTACAAGCCCACACTCTGCTGAGGCCTGTGTGTGTTTAGACGGAAAACCGTGGAGGGGTCAGCCCTGGATTCTGTGGCCGGCCTGGCCCCAAACCAGCCGAGTAGGCAGAGTCTGAGGTCAGGTTCAAGCCTGGCATCTGCCCTGGGTTCTTCTTGCATCCAGTGACCCACCCCTAGAAGGGAACAAAACCCTATGTACCCCACTGGCCTGTGTGTGGGGGGGAGTAGGCACTAAGGACAGACTGTGACAACTGACGTGGTATGGGGTCCCCAGCCTAAGGGGAGAGGTGACGGTTGCTACAACTATCTGTATTGTCCGGATGACAGGCTGAGGCTCCGAGGCGAAGTGATACTGCCAAAGTGGGCAGAGCTGTTTAAAAAGTAAAAACAACAGAGAGTGAGGTCATGTGCCCGGGCCTTGTTCACCCCACCCATCTCAAAAATAACAGAGAAGCCACCAGGCTCCTGTCAGTGGCCTGCCTCAGGATGGGAGCAAATAAATATGGAACCAGAGGGACTCTGGGGAGGGAAACGCAAAAACAAAAGGATCTAGTTCATGGCCTCTCTCTTCCCTTTTCCGTTTTGACAGAAAAGCCCAGGGTAGATCAGCCCAGGAGCACCACGTTGAGAGGCAGAAGGAAGGGCAGATGCAAAGTCCTCTTAATGCTTGACCCGAGACTACTGCAGCCGGCCCCGGCCCCAGATGCTCTGCAGCTTCCTGCACACACTGAGCTGCTGCTGCAATGCCTGCAGAGAGCCAGAGCGCCTTCTGCTTAAACCACAGGCACCATGGCCTAGGAAGAGCTCCAGTGCCCCGGAAGTGATAGACCCAGAGATGCTGAATCCCCTGCTCCCGTGGCCCGGGCCGGGCAGGGAGCAGATGGGGCTGGCGTCACTCACCCAGTGAAAACTGCTGGGCTCTGCAGCAGCAGAGAGACCCTTTCCGCTGCCTGGCTCCCAGTGGTGGGAACTGCCCACCATACACTGGCACAGAAAATACCATGCCAGATCATGACTGAAATGACCACCCCCAAATCACCCTACAGCTAAAGGAACTGGAAGCATGTTGTGTGTAGGGGGGGGGGGGGAGTTGGAGGTGGAGGCCACAAGGGCAACACCTGGTATATATCTGTGGGGAGCCCGCAGTGGTCACCCCCAAGTGGCTGCCAACAGCGCCCCCTGTTTTCCAGATTCGTAAGGCCCACTGGAAAGAAGGGAAAAAGGGGAGGGAAAAAAAAAACCAAAAACGTACTGGTCGATGTCACGCGCAGAGGGGGCGGCGGTGGGTGGGCAGCTGGCAGGTCTGACGAAGATCGCTGCCTGCTGACACCGTTCACACCTACAGAGTCTGTCTTCCACAGAGGGTTAGCCGAGGTGGCTGTCTGAACTAAACCCACACGCGGGCACACGTGGGCACGCACACGCACACACACGGCACGGAACAAAAACAGAAACAAAACACTTCGTTATTGATCCTCTCACTCATAAAAAGGGTCAACATGAGCCTTCTAGAACAGCATCAGAACCCTAAGATTTACTCTTTTCTCTAGGAGGGTAAAGTGGGACGCATCCAAAAAATAATTATAATAAAATAAGTAAATAAACTGCTCCAGGGAGCACCCACAGGTGGCCTTCTCAATTTGATGACGAAATTTTAAACTGCTATAGTTTGAAGAAGGAAAATAAACGGCCATCAATCTACTGAGCATTGCACTCAGGGCCTCTCGACCTTCTGCTCGCCTCTGCCCTTCTATTACCTCCTACCATGGGCCACAGAGACCCCGTTCTCAGTCAGTGTGGGCAAGAGGAAGAGTGTGTTCCAAACACGAGATCGGGGCTCTCCCCAGCATCTTGCAACATATCTGCCTGGAACTCAGCACAGACGGTCCAGTTGCTCTAGGTGACCCCCAAGACGACGGCACTTCCCTGGTCATGGTCTTTCTCACTGGGTGAAACTTACTCCGATGCACAGGGGTGTCTAAGGGAGGGCTGGGGGGCAGCCTTCACACTCGCCCTATGGTGAGTAAGTTCTGCACCCCAGTGTGGGACATAGGGCAGTGTTAACTCTATCCCCATCCCGGGGTGTGAAAACTCCATCTTCACACCAAGCGTGGACTCTAGGGCAGGGAAGATGCAGGATGGGGGTACAATTTACTTCATGTGAAAAAAAAAATAGAGCTAAAGATAGAACGGAAAAAAAAAAAAGTGGGAAAAACAATCCTTCCGATTCCAAGACTGCAAGAAATCAAGACAAGGAGCTGACCAATTCTCTCCTACCATCCCCTGGGGCCAGTGAAGTCTCTCCCATCACAGAGCCAGCACAAGCTACTCCTGGGAATGCCAGTCTCCGTGACACTGGACCTCTCAGAATTAGCTCACATCTCCAGGATGCAGAAGCAGTGAGATACCTGTAAGGGCCTGCACTGCCCTGGGCAGCCTGTAGGAGGCGACAGGGAGTGCTCATAGGGTCCAGGAGGACTCAAAGGCTGGGGTGCTGGTGGGAGCAGGGGGTACAGGGTCCATTCTTCATGCTTTTGAGCCTCAGTGACTCACCTAACTTTTGGGCCTCCCTGAGTGTTAGGAGGGTAGTGACATGTGTGGTCTGTCCAGCTGCTCTCCCAGCTACTCGGTACCCAAGACCATCTCACACTGCCCACCCCTCCCCAGCCGCCAGCCGCTGCAAGAGACAGTCTGCAGTGTTTTTATGCTTGGCAGCCACAGTTCAGGGACAGCAAGCGGACGCTACTGTTCTTTCCAGGGAAGCCTCTCCTTGACCTTGGAGGCCCTGAAGACTACCACCTAAGATGGGCAGCCCTGGCAGAGCCGGACTGGCCATCTGCTGGGCACTTCAAGAGCAGAGTGGCCGCCGGTCGGTCCTCACTATCAGACAAATGGTTTCCATATTTGTAAAAGCAAACAAACACACACATTAAAAAAAAAAAAAAGTCACGTGTTGAGCGGGTCTGCTTATATTCAGATGGGGGAGTCTCGTGAGCCTTGCACACTTAAGGGCTCACACATGTGTGCTTTTACAATTAGGCTGAGCATTGTTCCCCAAATCAATACCTTCCACTCCTTCATTTCAAGGGTATTCTAGAGACATTAAGTCCTCACAGTGCCTTAAGCTATCCCCAAGGAAGAAGAAGAGGACCAATCAGGACACCCCGAGGGGACCAAGTCGGGAAAGGATGGGCAGAGCATGGTGGGAAGGGAAGGGGAGGCCATCCTAGCTGACCAGCTGCTGGCCATCACCTCTGGGCTTGCCCAGGGGCAGCCCTGCATCACCTCACACACACCTCTGCCAGAGTAAGAACCCAAGTACAACTTCTACAGAGTTGGCATGCTAAAAATAAGGGATTTCCTTAAGGCAGCAGACAGAAAATAGCTACAAAATAAACACCCACGCACCAAACTCCTCAATGCCCACGCCCATAGGCATTCGCAGGGGACTCAGAATCGTATACCTTTGCCACCAACGTTCCGAGGCGGGAGTGGGGGTGCGCTGGTGGTGCTGGGGGGTAAGGACTGGGAGGAGGGCGGGCTGCCACTCAGGATGGCTCCGTAGGTCTCATTCTGTAAGAGGCTGGGCCCGAAGCCCCTCTGCTTGTCCTTGGTGAGGTTTGCGATGTCTCTGGCCAAAGACACGGCATTGGGCTGAAACTGGCTGGACCCCAGCTGGTAGAAACTGACGGGCCGGTCCTCGCGCCGGTTAGGACTGGGCTGCTGTGGAGGAACGCCAGGGGTGAGAGCGTGAGACCCAGCTATGGCTCTCTCTGAGTGCAATCAACTCGACCAACAGGGAGACGCATCCATCACTGCTGCGTGGTGGGTACCATTTCAGCCCGGCATACGCCGTTGCATTTGAGCTGCAAGATTTTAAATCCCACTCACCCCGTGGCTTACAATTTAAACACGCACACCTACCCAGCCATGGCTTACGGACTGCAATTCTTCCTTCTGTGAAGGACTTCAAAGAGAAGCTACTTCATCTTACCTACCAGCTGCCTCAGCCTAGCTCCACGCTGTCCTTGAGGTTCCTCCTTGCCAACCACACTATCTTATGGGACAGAATGGTCCTGGCCATTGAGCAGTGATCGAGCTCCACCCGGCACTATGCTTAATTCGGTAGAGATCAACAAGTCCTTTTCACACGCCTCTGAACTGCTGAGCTGTTGAGATCCTGATGAATCAGGGGTCAGTAAATCCTCAGGATATCACTTGCTTAAAAAACAAAAACGTGCCGGGCGGTGGTGGCGCATGCCTTTAATCCCAGCACTCGGGAGGCAGAGGCAGGC